CGCTTAGAGAGGGCTGAAAGCCCTATGAAGCGGTATATAGGTCTAACTGCTATTGCTATGTCTCCCATCCTGAGTCTCTTTAAGTCCTTTCAGATTCATCAGGAAAATGATTATCTACTACTGAAGCTAAAGGAATGGAAGGAAGACATCATCATTTTGCTTTCAAAAAGCTACAACCCGTTCTGGTGCCACATATTTTACTAAGACGCTGGTACACAGAAACCAGCATGGTGAAAATCCTGTGAAACCAGTCTCTGCCTTGAAAAAAATATTGAAAGAAGAGGTAAATTCGGCTTATAGAAAGCAAGACTTGCGGAGGGGGGGGGATGTTAGGGTTCTTGAAGTAACTGAAAGACTGAGGGTTATTCTTATTCTGTATTACAGCAGGAGATGGGATTACAACATCAGGTGGAAACGGCAGGAAGCAAATTTCAGCAAAACATCAGGGAAGTATTTGATCTGAGAAGCAGTTCCTGGGGATTTTTAAGTACATCCCAGATAGTCATCTCACAGAGATTCTAACTGCATCCTTCCTTGCTGAACCTTGATCACCTTCAAAGGCCCTTTGACTCTATATCGTTCTGATTAACAGTATTGATGCAGAAGTAAAAATCACTCGAAGGAAGTTGAGACAAGAACAGCAGCATCAAAAGCAACACACCTAAATATAAAATACGCGTGAGGATTTCCCTCTGCACTGGTTCCCTGTGCTACAATACAGACCCAGAAAAACCCAGAGCTGCTACAGACTCACCTTGTTGATATCCCAACACGTATCCCAGTAATTTCCCGTTAGGGAATTTTGGAGGCATCCACTGTAGCAACACTGCTGTGTCCGAGAGATAGTCCAGCTGAAAGTATTCAGGGATGCTAGGTACTACGTAAGGAGGCAAAGAGAAATGGAGAGTGAAGGGCACAAGGAATGTAAATGCGAAGGAGTGGATTATAAGTGGGAAGAAAGCTTAGTAGACAGGGCAGCCTTTTGGATTCTCCAAATACTTGGAGCAAATTCCTATTAGCAAGAAGAAGCCCATCAGAACAAAAGATCTATATGCCGTTAACAATGCATCCATTGCATAATTCCTAATTTATCTACACTCTCTGCCTCCTTAGTATTGCAACCAAAGCCACAACAGAGGTCCCGATAGAATGAAATCACTGTTGTTATGAAGAGGAAATAAAATTATCCTACAGTAGAATGGACGGGAAACTTCAAGTCCCAAAGACAGGTATGTCTTGAGCCCTTTTTGACTGCAATGCTGTACTGCAATTTTTCTGCCACTATGAGGGTGGGAAATAAAGAGTTTGATGTCTCTTCTACATGACATAATGCTACACCACAGGAGTCTATCTTAAGCACGCAAATTGGGAGATGTGCTGAGGATTACCGGACCATAAAAAAATGAGGCGTCCTGAGTTCCAGAAATGGATTTCTATGACAACTTAAGCCCAATGAAACATCTTATCCTTGAGACCAAGATGGTACCTTTACTATAATCTTTTAAGGTTAAAAAAGTGTTTGTTTGTTTTTTACCATAGAGCAGTGTTTCTCAACCTTGGCAGCTTTAAGTGCATGGAATTCTGGGAGTTAGAGCCCACAAATCTTCAATTTGCCAAGGTTGAGAAACACTGAGATGGAACTTTTGAGGAGTAGATTGTCAACCCAAGGTTGACCCCTTTGGGGGTCCTTTCTCTAGCTTTGGTTTTTAGTGGTTTGCATTTTTATTGTTATGTTTTTAGAATTTTCGACTTTAGTGTGAATTTTAGATAATCTATGGCTGAGGCAGCATATAAATGATGCTAACTAATGAGGCCTTCACTAACTAAGTTTTACTAACATAAAGAAAAACATAATTTCCTCCAATCCAGAAAAAAACAGCTCTACCCACATACTCAGATATGCAGTAATATATTTTGCCCACTTTCTACTATTACTCCTATTGCACTGCTAACCATTATTTCTGTATAACAGTAATAGTAACAATAACAGCAATAATCTCCCCCCCCCTCCACTCAATATCTACTTAATGCAAAGTTTCACTTTTTAGACAATGGTTTCTACAAACTGATTGACTGGAACAGGGGAAGCTGTGGTTAATAGAGGCTCATTTTAATTTATTTGATTTAGGATTACCCCTCCTTCAATCCAGATTTATGCTTTATGCCAAGGGTGTGAAATTCAAGGCCCGGGGCCCAGATCTAACCTGTGGGGCGTGACCCATCAAAACCGCGCTCGACTAAGCCGCGCCCGATTAAACCGTGTCGCTGATGTCATCAACAGGGCGACAACAGCCAGCGCGGAGAAAG